CTGAAGTTACTGCTTCCAGCCTGCCACATCTGCTTGTCATCACTTGTCAGAGGTTACCATCTCCTGTAGTCTGCTGTGGAGCAGCTCATGACAGGGTCCTCAGCCTGTTCTAGTCAAACGGAGCTGAGAAAGCCTTTGCTAACAAGGTTTACGTCCTGAAAAGGTAGAATGTTCACAGGGGTGAGGCGATGGGTAGCTTGGGTAGCCTAGGGAACACCAGCCTCTCCCATATGCAAGCTTCTTGGAAAATGTGCGTCTGTCAAGAGTTCGGGCTTAGCCTATTCTGTGCTTGCAGCTATTTAGACCACGAAGAACATGATGACGCCAGAGCTCTTTACCTGCCTCGTGGAATGCAAGGGCAGTATGGAGCTGGGAACCTACTGATTCTGTAGTTTCTCTTTTCAGAGCTCTAGGCTTTTTCTTGCCACTGATTAGGTAATTTTTTTCACCCACGCCTATGTGCTTCAGAATGTTGGATAAAAGTGTTTGTAAAGCAGAAATGAGGAATTTCTTCCAAACGCCTGCTCAGAGCCAAATCTCAAGACTGCTGTTAAACTGAAAAGTTTCGCTTTTTCTAGTTTGTTTACAAGGCTGCCTGGGGCCTTGCTGCTGTCCCAGAGGTTGATGGATGGGACAGGCTCCAGGCCTGCTCAGATTCTCTATGTTCACTTTTATAGTTTCGCAGTATTGATATTAATAAAGTTTTGTACTAAACTGAAATTCTTCTTCGATATGGAGAGTGGCTGCTTTGAGCATTCTGCTGAACTGCTTTTGTATGGGGGACGAAGTTACTGCCCTTTCTGCAGGAGGGCTAAGAGACCTGGAACAGCGGTGGAAATACCAGTCATAGTACTGTGTCTACAACGGACCCTTCCAAGCTGGAAGGGTTGCATTATAAGCTGTACCTATGCATGGTTGCTGCAGTCAAAAATAGTTTATATCTATCTCAATTCTCACTTTGCTGTAAGTGGGATTGTAAATCAGGGATTTACTTTGGCAGGGGGTACACTGAAGTAAGTTCTGCCTGTTTTTTCCAACGCTGAGCACGCTGGTGCTAGCCCTGTGAACTCTTAGAGAAAAGGAGGAGTAGAGTTCAGTGTGAATTTGATTTTAATAATGAAAAGGAAATGTATTGAAACAATTACAGAAAATTATTCACAGTCAAAATGTCTAAATCATCATAGAAACCTTTCCTCTGTGTGTGCAAAATTTCCTGCCTTGAAAAATAACAGGCCTGGTCCCCTTAAATGCACTTTCTATTACCTCTTTCTTGTGCCTGTTCTCACAGGCAGTAGCTTTTTCTTTATGACTGTCTTGCTGTGCAGGAGACCTAGATCATATCTTCAGAGGACAAAAAGGTGAGGAAGATGCTGAGAACAGCAAGCTGCTTCTGCTGATTTAGAGTTCCCATAATGGCAGATGCCGATTATGGTGTAGGG